TATAGATTTTACATTGTAGGGAAATTTAACTTCAACAGATGAAAAATCTAGGCTAAAATATCTTAGTTTTGTTAGTTCGCGTTAGGGCAGAAAAGGGAATAACTTGAATGAGGGGAAAAGGGGAGAGAAAGTATTAATGTTATTTAATCTTTTATTTATGCTTTGTTTTAAGAGAACGTAGTATTAGGAATTCCAATTCAAAACCATCTACTGGATCTGTCCCTGTGTTCACTATTCCCAATCAAGTTATTCTGCCTTCTTTACCTATTTTGCACCTTACGATTCTTTGCTATATGTTGATCCAGCAAGTAACCCCTTTGTTTAAAACTGGATTTTATAGCTATGGTCTTTATACGTCAGCTTTCTGTTGAATAACTTCTGTTATGCTTTGGTTGTTAGTGTAGGATATTGTGGTGAATCAAGATAGGAAAACTGAATTTGTCTAACCCACACAGTATAAGTACAGTGTATTTAATTTTTTTAAATAACAACAGCAGCTTCATAGTTGTATAACAAAACCCAAAATACAAGTAGCCTTTTGCAGAAAAACAGGTTCTTGTGACAGCATAAACTTTCTTGTTCATAAACTGCAAATAAATAAAAATAACTGTTACATTCAAACTGCCATGTGGTGGGTTTTTTTTATTACTTACAGAAGTTTGTATGTGTGTGTGTGTGTATTCCAGCATAACTCTGGAATACCTCTAGCAATTTCAACGAAACTTGGTACACAGATGACTTACTCTCTGGAAAAAAATACTATGGTGGTAAGAGACTCCTCACACCCCTCGGGATGTGTGTTCTGTTAAGATACAGCCTGTGCCTTAAAATGGCTTCTACTGTACTGCTGTAAAATGGCTTCTATTGTACAGTGCAGTGGAGTTGCCATAGTAACAGCTTCACAGTACTCCACAAGGGGGCTCCCTCTGGTAAGGGGGAAAATTCAATATTAGAAATTATGTTTGGCCGGACATTTCCCCCCTATAAATAAATACCGGGGCAACGCCAGATTATCAGCTAGTAGTATATAAGATTAAGGCCATAGTCTAATGCTGTAGTATAACCTCAGACTAAAGCAAAAACTCAGACCACTATATCAATTAACTCTGTAGGAATCAAGCTTGTCTTTTCTGAAAGAAAAGTGAGATATTAATTATAGGGGGGAAAT